AGAAAGCCCAAGCAAGAGGAGTGGTAGGAAACCAGAGAGGAAGGATAGAAATTGCTGTCTGACGGGGATTATACAAACTGCTGGGTTTAATCTTTTAGAGAACCTATAACAATAATGCACGCTAATTATCATTTTAGGAGTTTTAAGAGGTTTTGCCCATAAAGGAAAGATAAGTCATACTTGAATTCAGTGCTTTGTTACTCAGAATTTTCTTGCTTTCATTTTGCTTAGGGATTTGATGTTTTTGTAAATTCCACAGGTAACAATTTAAAAACAGCTAAATGCCATTTTTGAAAGTGATTTTCTCAGGCATACTAAGGTCTCTGAAGGTATGTGCAACGCAGTTCCTAACAGTTTTAACGTGAACAAGCTGCAGAAACAGCTCTTCAGTTTCTTAGGACTGGTGTCACTTTTGCAAACGGGGCTTATGCTAACAGTTAGTTAGGTATTTTTGACCAGTATGCCATATAATTATATGTCTAAATATATACATATAAAAATAAATACTGCCATGTATAATTCTTATTCCCCTCTGTGGGTTTGTCAGACCCACAGGTACAGCAGTGTGGTTTGTGGGCTCTTCTCCTAGCAACTCCTATTAACGTCAGAATTACTTGGGCAGCTGCATCTTCTTACCTCACACTAAGAGTTTACTATTTGGTGCTGGTTTATGAGTAGATTTCATATGCCTGTATCTCCGATTATTTGCACCAATTCTACTTTAGTTCCTTGTTATCTTACAACCACTTTTAATAACAGCTTTATACTATTACCTACTGAACTTCTCTGCTGTAGTTGTTCGTATTTGGGAAAAAAAAAAAAAAAAAAAAAAAGAAGATATAGTCCCTGCCCCAAGGAGGCTATAATTAAAACAAGACCAGCATTATAGAAACGTATATGCTAGCTGGCCTGTAACTGGATGGTCTGTTTAGTTTTGTTTTGACGTACTGTATGAAGCAGCATTTAACAGATGTTGGGAAATTAGCTTTCTGAGCTTCTCATATAAACATACAGCAGATGCATGGGTTCAATTTCATCATCAAAAGTATTAATGTATAATTGTTAATGGGTATTAATGTCATTGGGCATTTTAAAATGTCTGTGCCTATTCTACTGCACTTTGAGTCCTCCTTGCCAAAAAATACAGAAACTTCTCAAGAGAAAGATAAGTGACTGTTGTAGAAATGTTTCTAGTGCATTACTGATAAATCTGTTCTCTTGCATAGAAGACATCACTCTGTACAATCCCACCAGTGAAAAAAATGAAGTGTCAATTGTTTCATTACATACCCTACATGCAGAGTGTTGACAAAGAAAAAACCAAACCAAGCAAACCGAAATGGGCAGGTCTCCCTCGGTCTTTATGTCAAGTTGTCACTCTCATTATAAGCAATGCTACCTATCACTCAAATCATGTAGTTGACAGCATCATGGCTGGTGATATCTTTGTTGGACACATCCAGCAAGGTGATAGGTCTTTCTGCTCCCCCTTTTGCCCAGGGGAATGCAGTATTGAAGATTAGATTCCCATCTACAGCTTCCAGGATGAAGTCAAACCAGCATCAAGAGGGGAGCTCGCAAACTGTGGCATGCCCCTCTCTACACGGTGTACAGGTAGAAAATAAGAAGGTCAGGCAGAGAGTGAAGGCAAGACCTGGGACAACGCCTAAACCAGAACAGAATTAGAAGGGAATTGTAACTGACAAAATGACACAGAGATTTCCTAATCTCCACTTGTATTTAATATATTTTACATTTCTCATCTGTATTTTTATTTTGCGTCCCCCTTAATTTAGTTTTCATGCATTAAAACATCCAAAGTGTTTCTAAAGCAACAGCTATGGCTTTAAAAGAACATTTCGCACACCTCTAGATTACCACAGATGTGCAATATTAATTTAGGGTGAATGGGCACAGATGTTATCAAAATCACTCTCTTCACCTGCCAACTCCACCAAATTTTCCAGTGCTTGGATATTTTCTTCCACTGCTGTGTGGAATTTCTTATTGTAATGTTCTCTGTGCATTTTCCCCCTTTTTTTTTTTTCCTCAGATGTTTTATCCCATTACTAAACCTGCATACGGCTGCCTCCTCTGATCAGCTGTCTGAGCTAAAACGAATCATGATGATTACGGAAAAGAAAAGCAGCCTCTGAAGATGCTGATGTGATTATGGTGAGGAGCCAGGGACTTGCACTGAGTGCTAGAAGAGCACTTTAGAACCACAGAAAATCAGTAAGTTTGGTCTAGATGACATGGCAGAGAACTGATGTGATGTGAAATACGAGTTGGGGAAGCATGGAGAAGAGAGGGAAGTGGAAAGGCAGATTTAAAACTGGATTTTAATTTTCTGGTGTTACCAGTGGGTGACTTCCCTAGTTCACTAGTCAGCTTTTCTTTGCTGGCTCTTTGAATTCTCCGTACCTCTTCTTTACTTCAATATTGTGCCGCTAGCACATCTGCACAGCAAAACGTGCAGATGAGAGTTCTCTCTGCGCCTCAGGCCTATGAAAAAGCTGTATTAACACAGCACTAAATCTGAACTAATGTACCCTGTCCCTCAGCAAGGACTAATAGCTCAGGATCAGCTTCCTGCTAACAGCTTTTGGGCTGCCTGGTATGGAGGCAAAGTGAGTTTTATCTTCCCACAATGTACTTTGTAGAACTCTCCATATTGGGTCTAATTTGGAAGAAGCATTAGAAGCTTTCTTAATACATGATTTTGTTTTTCATTGGTATATGTCAAAATGTTTTGCAAATGAGGCGTCACTGTCCAGAATTTCATTCCATGCAATACCAGGACAAGCCAAATGGGCAGGTCAGGAGTATGGTTCAGATTTCCATGACCCTATCCACTAGTCCAGATTGTGTCTAACTGACAGTTTGCAGGATTTTTCACATTCTGCACTAATATTCAATCCCATAATTCTTTATATTAAATCCTATGTTTATCAAAAAATGTCTGCAATGGTCAAATTAAAATCATTGCAGTGTATTCTACACAACCTGATTTTTTTTTTCTAGTTTAATACCTACGAAATCAAAGCAGAATTATGTCAATCTATAGTGAAAATGTGCAGAATTTTCATCTCTGTAAATTGGAGTAAGCAATAACAGTGGCCTTATAAAAACATGCATTGCTTTGTCACGCATTAGGTTTCATATCTTTACATAGAAAGAAAAAGCTCCTAATTTTCTTTAAGTATGTTTTGGTTACAAACTACATAATGTTCCAATTAGCTTTAAGAAGTTGACTGTATGCTGTATACAATATTCTATGTTCTATCTACCTTTGTTGCTTGGTGTTATTTTCCCCAAACATGCTAAAACATTAATGACAACTCCTAGGCCAGAATTCAAGCCTGATTTAACGTGGTTATCTTTTGTGGCATTGTACCAGAGACACATAAAGATTTAAACATTTCAGAATGTTTTACATTTGTAGCAATAATTGCGCTGTTTAGAAAAATGTGGTGCCATCATGTGGACAATATTCAGAAGTGTGAAAAACAGTTTTTAAAAGACTAGGTAACAGACAAATATCCGTATTCGGTATCACGAGTCAGCTGAATTGTAATATATATTATGTTCTATAAGAAGCTATGCAAAGATCTGTGGTTTTAAAACTGTATTAGGTAAGAAAAAAACCTGAGACTTGAATCAGGAATTGCTGATTCAATAATATTTATTTTCCAACAGCTCAGGCAGTCCTTTCCCACGAGCACAGACTGATCAAAACACACACGAATCTTCAAGCCCCTTTTAATTAGCACCTAATTCCAACATTACCTACTTCTGTACTCATTTCTGTATCTGTTCATCTCTTTGGATTTCCTCTAAGACTACAGAACTTGTTTTCCTATAGCCTGCATTTCTTCTCTTCCCCACAAACGCACACACGCTCACACAAACACTCCTATCCATAACACTAGCCAGCCAAGGCACTCTGCCCACGCAGTTCTCATTCCTGCAGGAGTTCACACAAAGCTTTGTTTCAGCAATGGTTTTGGTTTAAGGCTTCTTCTAATTTCTTACATTTAACCCAGAGGAAAGAAACTGCCAGAGTTGAAAAAGCTATTCCTAATACCAAGAAATGTCCACAATGGTCAAATTAGAAACACTGTAAGGCACTAACACGGCCAAAGTTTTTCTAGTTTAGTATCTACAAAATCAAAGCAGAATTATGTCAATCTATTGTGAAATGTGCAGCATTTTAATCTCTGTAAACTGGAGCAGTAACAGTGCCTCTGTAAAAGCATGCATCACTTGCCACGTCACGTTTCATATCTTTACGTAGAAAAAGTTCCTAAATATAATTTCCTCTATAATACTCCATCTATGACAGACCTGTGAAGGTTTTCACGTGAGTGGTGTGATTCAAAAACTGTTCTCTCTGATACACTCCCCCAAAGCTAACCTGCATGTCCCAGAACTGTAATCTGCCTCCTGCTCTGAGATCCTGTATGCCAGGTGCTAGTTAGCTGATTCTGCAGTCTGCCGATTTATTTTATATTGAATGAAGGCAAGAACTTTTAAAGCCTTGCCAGTGGGTTTGAAACTGATGGTCTATCCAGGCTAGAGCTGGAAAACATGTTTGGATCACTCCGTTCTTTTGTGAAAGTTTAGTGGTTTCGTTTTGGTAGAACTTAAATTTCATTTGACCTTTATGAACATTGAAGATCTTTAGAATCCTTTTGGAGAAAGATTTATCTAGTATTTCACTCAGAAATTCACTTGCTTTGTGCAGAAAGAGCCCACTCTTGTGGTACGGTAACAAATGGAATATGTATACATGTGGCTTTACTAAATGGATATAATAGAATGTCATACATAAATAAGGTTCTTTGTGGTGCTGTTTCAGCTTCCATATAAAGACAGGTAACTCTATGAAGTAATGACATCTGTTTTCCATGTCTTTGCATCTCATGCTTTGTTAATTTTATTGTTTAAGAAAATGTGAGATTCAGCTGAAATTTTACAATTCTTGGTCCATTTTCTTCATGTGCATTCTCTGGTTCTAATTAGGTATAAACACAGAATACAATCTTTTTCTTACTGGATAAACTTACAGTATCTCTTACTCTTTTTCTACTTTGACATTTCTTTTCATGAAACGGGTGGGGGTGTGGGGGTGTGTGTGCTTAATTTTCTTTGACAATTTTACCTTGCTGTCAGCTTGGTAGAAATTAATATGGATTGAAAAATTGTGTGGATGAGAGGCAAATGGATCATGGTGATGTATGGAAGAGGCTGTTGGAAGTCTCTAGTCTGTATCACTGTGCTCATGTTCTTGATTATTTGGCATTTAAATGTTTAGAATACATGGACAAACATTAAAAAAAAATCAATTTATACCTTTTTAATTAATTCCCATAAATCCAAAGCCATTCTCAAGATAAAGAGATCTCACTTGTGATTTTTTTAATAATTGGCAAAATTGTGCCAGACAGAGCGTGGAACAAACTCAACAACCAACTTCCTTTCAGATGAACTTTAAATGTCAAAGTATCCCATGACAGCTTGCATGAGTTTGGTTTTCAGTGTTTCGGAAACTGTAAACTCATCCTTTTAAAAAGTGTGACACTGGCTTGGTTTTGGAAGAATTGGTTAAAAACACTCTAAAGGCCAGTAATATAGTGAAAATATATTAGATTTCCTGGATTCTGACATCTTTTGCCATCAGTGAATGTGAAAATGGGAAAATAAACCCTTCATGATTCATGATTTTTTGATGTTTTGCATGGTTCATCAAATTTTATTAGTTTTTACCCGCTGTATAACCTTGATGAGTTAATGAGATTATGCAGTATTACTAATGGTAGACTTTCATTTCCTTTTTTAAAACAAACATATCTAGAACTAAAAACAAGAAAAAACAAGAATCAGAATCTCATCAACCCCCATCAGCTGTAGTCTGGGATTTTTATATTCTATGTCTCTTCATGAAATTCATTCCTTCTGATCCCCGCTGGGTGAGGGTTTGGTCTCTCAATCATTGTACCATCCTCATCACCAGGATCTCCTGTAACTATTTTCCAGTAATTCTTATCTTCTTCGGCTTTATGGGAGTCCAGATAAGTGTGACAAACTACTTCATATTCTTTTCCAAAATAAGACCTGCAAAGTCAAAGAAAAAGGGATGGACGGGGGGAATTAATATATACACGAATTCAGTAAATCTGTATTACCTGTGAAATGTTCAAGGTTTTCTCATGTTTCTCTTGGCTTATTAAGAAATGTCACCATGCACTTTCAAGTACCAGACCCCTAAAAGAAACACAATAGCCCACTTTGTTTCCTATGAATCATTTGGGAATTTGAAATCAAAGGAATTCAGAGCTAAAGCAGCCCCATCAGTATAAGGCACGGATACACCAACTCAGTATGTACAAGCTTGCTAGGTTCTCATCGCCACTCACATCACTATTTCTGTCTGAATGAGGAAGACTCTGGCTACTTAATTACTTAATAAGTGTTTCAGCCTCAGGCTTTCAGAACTTGTTTCATCCTCGGAAGCCCGATACAAATCCTCTGTCAGATCTTGCTCAGAATTTAATAGGAAACAATTGGTATACTCCTAACAATGCTAATCAGTATTAATTTAATGCATGCATATTAACTTGAATTGTTGGATTAACTTCAGCTTCTTGAGAGATTGGTTCATACGGACATAAGCAATATACAGTTCTATACAGTGTGTTCTAATTTAGTTCTCTTAATCCTTACACTTCTTGGCATACTATTTTTTTTCTTGGGGGGAAAAAAAAAACAAAACCACTGTTACTTGCTCATGATATTCAAAGGGAGAACAACCAAGAAACTAAAGAAAGCTAGAAGCATGATACGTATTTATAAGGAAAAAAACCCAAACAAATAAGACTGAGCTGATTGCCTGCAGTATCACAGTGGCACACATTACAACCCAGAAATAAAATAAGGGAAAGGAGAAGGTGCATTCTGCATTCTTTTCCATTTCCTCAGCGTGTTCCTAAAGCACCTATCTTGCTTCTTACAGTAATTCTTTCTGTTGGGACACCATTATGCACATCCCTGACAATTAGAAACTATTCTTACCTTGTCCAAAAGTTCCTTGGAACAGCTAAGCTCCGATTAGTATGGCAATGAGTAATAATAATTTCAGAGTTTGCCTGGGGGAAAAAAAAAAACAACCAAACAACAACAAAAAACCAAACCAAACCAACAAGGAAAGACATTTGACAGTGATTTTTACAGTAATTTTAACTATTCTTAATCAAATTAAGTGCTTTTATTTACTGCTTATTATAAGCCCACATTGCTCTGTAGACTGAGACTGCTGGACACATGGTGAGATATTGTACATCCTAACAGTTCTCAACACAACTGTCTTAACAGCTCAGACCAGCCAACTGCTTAGGGATCAGGTCAGACACATTCTCCTGTCCCATGTATTCCCTTCCACTTCCTTGTGCTGGTCACTTAAAAATTTAAAAAGTTAAAAGGTGAAGTAAGTAGTAGAGAGGCATTCCAGTGGCCTGTGCCATCAGGGTAATTCCTCTTACAATTGGTATTTGCCATGTGAGAGATTTAGATAGTTTGGGGACACAGCTAGAAATGGACTTTTCTATTTTACCAGTTTGCAATTTTTTATGTATAACAGATCTTCTAGTCGCCTCCATTTACCAATACTGTGAATAAAGAATATTGTCTTTGACAATTGCATGATTTTGACTGTGTTTATTAGCGAGCTGATTCATGGAAATGAGTCACAGATCAAGGCTGTAGAGGAACAGTTGTATTTGTGACATTTTGCTATACACCCAGCACTTCAGGAAGCCTAGCAGTTACATGGAATACAAAAATACTGCACCTGCTTAAGGTATTTAAAAAAAGGTTAAAAACCACATTTGGAAAAACATCCACTTATTCGGATGCCTTGGGGTTTTTTAATACTTTTAAAATTTAATGTACAGGAGCTCTTAATTAGTAATGGCTCCTAATATTGGAAATGGAATTTAGTGCTCAGAAGTCCTGAAAAGAAGATTCCAAGTGCATCCTCACAACATGATAATGTCTACATTTAAAAAATTCTGATGAGAAATACTGAGCAACTCAACCTCAAAATGAACACCAGAACCTAACAGTTGTATATGGAATTCCCTGGCTAAAGAGATTGTTACTTTCCTCTCCCCCCTCCGAAAATTACAGATCAGAACTTAAATAAGGAAAATATGTGAATAAAATGTTCACAACTTTTTTCTAAGTACTCTATCTACTGTTTCAATTAAATCTTCATGATGTTTTCTAAAGTTTTACTTTCTTACAGGAACTGGAAATCCTTCATATTCAAGACGCAGCTGTGGATCCAAGAAGACAGCTTTCCAGCAAGTCAGATAGGAACGCTCATCTGTCAAAAACACTTGTTGAAGGTAAGATTTTTTAGCAGATCTCATAAATGACTTATGGTCACTTGCTAGATATAACTGTAAATAAATAGATATATTAAGGACAGTAAATATCAAAGAAACAAGACACGAAATTTTAAAAAATATTTTTCAACACCAAAAAATTTCTCTTGGCTCTTGAAAAATCAGTCTACCAAGATAAAGCTACACATACAAACCGCATAATATAGGTTCTATACCATTGATAATCTCACTAAGTAGTTATTCTGTGTTCAGACTGGTGAATATTAATTTAAAACTGAATTTACATTCCAAAGATTCTCTCTCACCAAAGTGGCTGTTGAGAGGGAAACTGTTTTCAAAGTTGTAGTGATCTGAGTACATATGTAACATGTAATATCTTATTTGCTTCTAACTTGCACAGAGAATGTTAACATCTAATAGAAATCTGCTCCCTCAGAATGGTAGAAGTGTGTTACTTCACAGACCTACTATAGATTATCTTCACAAGAAATTAAATATTCTCAATTTGGAGTTATTTAAAGTAAGAAAAAAAAAATCTCCCTCTAATGATGAATTCTTTCAGGATTCACAAGCTGATTTTAATTTCTTAATTTATTTTCTTTTTTTAAATCTCCTTTATCCAGTCATTCTGGCTGACAGCCCCCTTTCCAGAACACCTGATCTCAAGCAAGCTGCATAAACTTCCTAAACAGGTACTGCTTGTCTTGATCTATGTATGATTCTGAATCTGTTCTGTAAAGCCAAGATGTTGAACCACTGCACAGCCTGAGAGAGAGTAATTAAATGCACACTATTAGTATAAGCTAACTTACCATTTGGTCAGAAAGCCCTCCTGTTGTCCCAAGACCAAAGTTTTGCCCAAATCTAATCGGTTCACCCACTGCATCTCCACCAACACTATTAAAATTGTAAAAAGGAAGAAGTAGACATTCAAATAACCAGATTTGCTGTTCTTTTGTTTTGGTCTATAGCTAGGTCTTGGGGCAAAACTTTGTATTAAGTTTACCTTTAAAAATAGGTAAAATATCTTAACCGCAAAAACATTTCGTACTTAACTTACTGGTTAAAATATTTAACAGAAGAGGAACAGACTGTATTGATTACTTTTTATGTTGTATTCATTAACATCCAGGGTGGAAAGACAACATCCAATGAAAAATCAACGGGACTTCAGTGCTGAGGCTCCCTTTAAAATATAGTTAACACAAGAATCTGAAAAATCACAGGCTAAAAGCAGAACAGTGTGTGTTTGTAACATAACATATGTTGCTAATAATATAGTAACTGATATTCAATAATTTGGTCATTACATCAATATACATGCTGGTGTATTCCTGTTTCCAGAATGATTTATAGATTTTATATTAAAGAATCACTAAATTAAGTGCTAGGCTTTCTAAGTATATTTAGCATAGAAAACTTATGTAGCTGATTAGTTTAGTAGTCAGTTAACAAGGGACTCGATAGCATTCTGTGCCAACAACTCTAAGATTAGACAGCAGCTAAGCAAAAATATTTTGGTTGCAGTTCTAGAAGGCCTAAATTACACTCTTGGTGTCAAAATTCTTTCTTAGATTTAATCAGAAGTGTTTTGCTCAATCAGGATTATATGCATTAATCTGTACTCTTAGCAACTATTATTGTTAAATACAAGCACTCAGGCAGAGCTTCCAACTATTGAGCCAGGACCCCATTCTGTTTCTTCTCCCACAAACAGCTGGAATTAAATATGTCTTTGAGAGAGACAATATGCTCTTTGGTTAGGTTTGGGGTTTTTTTTAAACAACAGAAATACTGTCCACTTCATGTACAGCAAAAGCACTGAAAATTTCTGCTTCAGAGACCTTGTTTGCAGGAGAGAGAGTAATAATACTAATGGATATTTGGACACGTTTTGTATTCTACAGCTGAAACGTGACCTCATTAAAAACAGCCACAGAGTTTACCAAATGATACAGTAAACTAGATTCTATTTTCACACCAGTTCTGAACTGATTTAAACTTCCTTGGAAATATTCACAGTAATATGTGGAACAGAATCAAGCATAATGCATTACTCAAGTTAAAGATTCTTAAATAAATTAATCTTACTCAAATTCATTTATATATTATCAAACTTCCTTGCATATTTCTTAAAACAAGATACTGAAAACTAAAATAATAATTGAAAACAACACAGAATAAAGTACCAAACCTTAAAATACAAAAAGTATTCCGACCCGTAGGGTCCACACTCTTGACTGCGCTAACTCCACAAGGGACTTGCAGTGATTCAACCGAATATATGGATATTTCATCCAGATCAACTGCCAAAGTCAGACTGCCACATGCTCCAGGGTAATTCTCCACTGGGGATTTGTTGGGTGGGTTGAGAAGAATCACAGTGTCTCCAAAATGAACAAATCCATCCTTAGACACTGACAGGTGTATCTAAATTAAAATATACATTTTTTTTTTTTCAGAATTACCTGAACCTAATATCAGAAATACTTTAGCATGTAAATTGTTAATCTACAGCTCTCTTGATGCATAAAGAACACTAATAACAGCTATGCCATTCTATATGGAGTCATAGAGGATTGACATAATCTTCTTTAAAAATTACCTTCTTTAGAAGTTTATCTTGAAGTTTGTTTATTTTCTGTGTTAAAAGCTCTCCTCGTTCTTTTTTACGCATAAAATCCCTGATGCGGTCCTGTTTGTAAAGGAGAGAGGGGGCAGACCTTAGCCAGCGCTCACAATCTCAGGTTTAAACCGAATTTAAAGAATTAGGAGGAAACACCGTGAGGTGAAGAGCCAGGCGAAGCTGCCCGGGAGCCGGAGACGGGAGAAGGTCCCAGCTCCTCCCCTACCTCCTCCAAATACGCCTCCTCGTTCCAGTTGCCGATGAGCACCCCGGGTCTGTAGGCGGCCATCGCGGCCCCCTAGGCCGCACGGCGTCCGCCGTCACCATGGCGACCCCTCGAGCTTGCGATTGGGCGCTGGAGGGGCAGATCCCGCCAATGAGCGGGACGGACGGGGGGCAGGGGGCGGGCTCCTTCTTCTCGGGCGCGGCCCAAAATCTGAGGGAGGGGATGCGAGGGGGGGGGGCGGATCCTGAGGGGTGAAAAAAAATGGGATAAATGTTAAAACCCGTTTAAATAATCCGACTGCCCCTCCTTAGGCATGCCCAGCGCGGGTGGGGTTGGTGCGAATGGCACGCTGGCGGACAGGAGCAAGCCCCTCGAGTTTGCGCCCTCTTAGGAGGATCCGCCAGACCAAGGTGTAGCAGGGAAAGGTCTCCGCAAGCAAAATAAAACCAAAACAAAAATCCACTTGGATTTCCTTGTGGTTTTGCCCAGTCTGAAAGCAGGCGGCCTGCTTTGCCCCGGGGCGGTTCGGCTGAGCCGAGAAGGGGGTAACGCTGCTGGGCCCACGGCAGGGCCTCAGCTCCTCAGGCCTGCCTGAGGGCTTTCTGGTCACCTGGCTTAACGCTTACACCTTTTCGGGCAGCAGTGTCCACGAAAGTACTTCTGCTCCTGGTTCAGTTGTGTGATGGTATAGTTTAACAAATGGAAGATGCTGAAATTCAAGAATCTGGGCCAAGCTATAATCTTAGAGGTTTTGTTTACAGTCAGCCTTTTACACTGTATTGGACAAGGAGGGGCATCAGCTTAATGCAACAAAGCAGTTCATGACATTCACACTGCTGAATATTGTGGATCATAGAACAGTTTGGGTTGGAAGGGGCATTTAAAGGTCACCTGCAATGAGCAGGGACATCTTCAACTAGATCAGGTCACTCACAGCCCCGTCCAACCTGACCTTGGCATCTACCACCTTTCTGGGCAACCTGTGCCAGTGTTTCACCACTCTCACTGTAAAAAAATAATAAATAAATCCTTCCTTATATCTTAGTCTAAGCGAATGCATGTTTTGATTACAAATGTTTTGGTTTGTCATTATTTTAGTTTTGAAATATACTATGACAAGATAGGCTAAGTGAATATACTATGTGTTTACATTCCAGATAGCTTAAGCCAATGATTTTCAGTGGTGGTGCAGATCCTTGCACAGGACATCTAATCCCTTTAAAGCTGTCATGGTTTTCTTGCATGCTTACTATTGTAAGGTTTCAATGCTGGGCAAGGTAAAAAGTTTAAAAGAAAATGGGTTTTGGATGGACAGCTGAGATACCTGTTCTCATCAGCCAGTTCTGACAACAATTCACATGAAAACTGGATCTTTTGTGTTTGTTTGGGTTTAAAAACAAAACAAAACAAAACCAAACCAACCCCAAAATTTATTACATAAAACTTTATTCAGCACATCCCAAACCTCTTAAAGACGAAATACAGTCCATTTTTGTTCAAATAGCACCACTTTGTGGTCAGTTCTGGTAAGTGACGCTTTCCTACATCTAGCTTTGTTAGAGGCAACGTTGAAATTGCTTAACTGAAATAGGGAAGAAACTTTGTTCATCTTAGCCGAATATCAATAGCCAAACAAATTTTGGAAGTATCAATGTGATTTGAAATTTGAAGTGTTTTCAGAAAAAGACATTTAGTTAATTTCCTGTGTTGCTAGTAATTTCTACTTAGCACTTAAAATTACATTGATTTCACAGAGGTAAGTTCCTTTATTAGGGTGACTGGTTAATCATACTGGTATGCAAATGTGTACTGGGTCTGGCTGAGCCGGAATTGGTTTTCCCCTATAGCAGCCCTCATGGTGTTGTGTTTTATGTTCGGATGATAAAGTGTATTTATCACACTTTTGTTCAAAACTGGATAATATATTTATACTTAACAATTTACTTTAGCTTATCTCAATATGCAATGTCTAAGAAGATTTAAATAATTTCTTTTTTTGTTTGTTTGTTTGTTTCAGAATTAATCCACTTTTAAATCAATATTCAGTAATAAATCATTGTTAACTATTATACTCAGCCATATTATTAAGAACACATGCACTCTTTCTCGCTGTGTGTGTAGCTCATTCACAGAATCCACAGAAAACTTCCATAGTTTTGTAGCCTTATGCACTGTCTATACTTAGTTATTTACAGATTCTGATGCATATTACATAGAAAGAAGTATTTGTATTCCAGATGTAATTGTGTACAGAAATACTTCAATGCATCTCTTAGTAGGATTATGCTGTGACTGTCACCTGGAAGGCTTTAATTTCTGATCTCATAGTATTCCGTGTAAACAAACAAAAAGAGCTCTCTAGAAGCGTGTTTGTGAACTGAACATCTTTCCTGCAGGAAAGGTGACAGGCTATTCTACTCAGCTCAGTTTCCTTTTGAGCAGATAAAAATCTATGTTTGCTCCTAGCAGTTTTTTACATTATTAAATAGTGGAGAAAAACTGCTTGTGAAATAATTAGCCTATTATTTTGTGTATACTTATGCCAGCATGCAAATTGACCAGACTTACAGGTGTATGTGGTTTATTGGAAACATTAGCATTTCTCTTTTTTTCTTTAAGTCTTTATTAAATAAAATTATAGTCAGTATACTTTCAGAGACTCCTCTCCTACTGTTCTACAGTTACAGCTCTTCTCCCCTTTCTCTTTGCCCTTTTTCTTTTTTTTTTTAATGAAAGAGAAGCAGGTGGTTGAGAAAACCAGAAATAGTATATAGAGATGCCTAAGCCATTAGTTTACATAAAAGGCTGGACTGTTAGGCTTTTAATTGCCTTAAGATTGTCAGTAATGTGTGAGATAAAGCACATTCTAAATAATGTATAAATGGTGAAAAACACGATTTTTACTTGTGTGACTACTGTTTCACAACTTATGAAATAATATTCATACAGAAAAAAAATACTAAATAATATTTTAATCATATGCAGGTTGGATGTGGATATTTTTAATACCTGCCTTTACTGCCTTGGGACATTATTTATGTTTTTTCTTGTTTTCTTTTGGTTTTCCTGTTGAAAAATACGAATGTAACAAATTTTATTAACAATACAGACTAAATAATACTGCACAGGAGTGAAACATGTTCTTTGGGATGCTTTTTCCCCTTTCATTTTATTATTTCACACTACCAGTATTCTGACACATGCTATGAATCAGAGCATACCCATCATTTTTCTTTGCTGTTATTAAGCTTCTGGCTATTAAAATGATTAATCTGCTTGTTAATAATATAACTACAGTTTCTTATTCTAACCTATTCCCCAAACACTCATTTGTTCCCAGCACAAAACGAATTAAGTTGTTTATGTGGTAAGATTTAAGGATTGTTTTTTTGCCAGACGCTTGTACTGATGTCTTCCATTTTGGCTGAGAATTTCAGCGTGGAGTTTTTGTGTAATGCTTGTTGCTGAGGAGCAGTCCAACTGTTCATGGTACAGTAACTTCTGAAATGTCGTAATCCATTAGGCCAGTCAGCTTGACTTCAGCGCCCAGGAAGCGGATGGAGCAGCTCATCCTGAGGACCATCACACAACACCTGAGGAACAAGCAGATGCTCAGGCCCAGTCAGCATGGGGTTATGAAAGGCAGGTCCTGCTGGACAAACCTGATCTGCTTCTATGACAGAGCGACCTGCTTATTGGATGAGGGAAAGGCTGTGGATGTTGTCTGCCTTGACTTTAGCATGGCCTTTGACACCGTTTCCCACAGCATTCTCCTGGTGAAACTGACTGCTCGTGGCTTGGATGGGCACAGGCTTTGCTGGGTAAAACACTGGCTGGATGGCTGGGCCAAAGAGTTGTGGTGAATGGAGTTAAATCCAGCTGGCGGCCGGTCACGAGTGGTGTAACCCAGGGCTGGGCGTTGGGGCCACTCCTGTTTAACATCTTCATTGATGATCTAGACGAGGGGATCGAGTGCACCCTCAGTCAGTTTGCAGGTGACACCCAGTTGGGTGGGAGTGTTGATCTGCTCAGGGTAGGGAGGCTGCAGAGAGACCTGGCCAGGCTGGAGCCATGGGCTGAGCCCAACTGGGGGAGTTTCACTGAGGGCAAATGCCGGGGGCTGCCCTTGGGCCACAACAACCCCCAGCAGGGCTACAGGCTTGGGGAGGAGTGGCTGGAGAGCTGCCGGTCAGAGAGAGACCTGGGGGGGTTGAGAATGAGCCAGAGTGTGCCCAGGGGCCAAGAAGGCCAATGGCATCCTGGCTTGTGCCAGCAATAGCGTGGCCAGCAGGGACAGGGAAGGGATCTGAGCCCTGGGCTTGGCACTGGTGAGGCTGCCCCTTGATTCCTGTGTTCAGTTTTGGGCCCCTCACTACAAAAAGGCCATTGAATGACTCGAGCGTGGCCAGAGAAGGGCAACGGAGCTGGGGCAGGGTCTGGAGCACAGGTCTGATGGGGAGCGGCTGGGGGAACTGGGGGGTTTCAGTCTGGAGAAGAGGAGGCTGAGGGGAGACCTCCTGGCCCTCTGCAACTCCCTGCCAGGAGGGTGCAGAGAGCGGGGATGAGTCTCTAACCAAGTAATAAGTGATAGGACAAGAGGGAATGGCCTCAAGCTGCCCAGGGCAGGGTCAGGCTGGCTCTGAGGAAGGATTTCTTTGCAGAAGGGGCTGTTGGGCGTTGGAATGGGCTGCCCAGGGCAGGGGGGGAGTCCCCATCCCCGGAGGGGTTTAACAGTCGGGCTGACCCAGTGCTGAGGGATCTGGTGGAGTTGGGAACGGTCAGGGTGAGGTTAATGGTTGGACTGGATGATCTTCAAGGTCTTTTCCAACCCAGATGATTCTGTGATTAGACCTTTCAGTCTACCTTTTACTAGAAAGGGGAGCAGGATGCTTGTATGCTGTATTGTCAGTAAGTTTGCTGATGTAGGTATGCAAGTGGAAAGCTTCCCGATATTAGATCTGGCTGAAGACATCCAAAATTACTGATTGCTCATTTGGTGTTTTATAACCAAAAGGTTCTGCTAGAGAGAGGAAAAGGAGAGGGAATCATTTGAATGTGTCTAAGACCACCAAACAGTTGCCAATTAAAGTTTGGAT